AAGAAAAGAGTTTAAATATCAAATGCAATTAACATTGTACTGAGGATTACTATACCTTTATACCTTCAAAGAAAATGGTCCATTTTGGTCCTGTCTTTGCGTAACACAGTAAAGAAAACTTAATATCAAGGAAAACCCTGTAATTGAACACATTCCATGCACTTTTGTGACAATATTCATGCTGAGGTATTTGGCTTGTAATCATAATTGGCAATAAAAACACAAAGATGTGCTTACACCATGACTTGATAGCTTTCATTAACTGGATCCAAACAATATAAAAATCATGAACACAATGTCTGGCCTTGAGTCATTTGTCCTGCAAGTAACGGAACTTGCAATCCCTACAAAGATATAAGGTAGAGATTTACAATACTCTCTCTAAAACAAAGTAGAAGTAAAGCAACAAATCTATATTTCTTCAACAGACAAGTCCTTAAATGGCCTTACACCTACAAATGCCAATTCCTTTGGTATCCAACTTACTTAGCTGTACTGAAACACACCAAAACAAATTGAAAGTGAACAGAGCAACATTACTCTTTTCTTCACAACACACAACTAATCCAACTGCTCCTGTATAACATTTACTGAAAACCAAAACCTGACCTTACTCCATCAGTGCTATGAGCACAATGAGATGGCTTCCAAAGCCCCTCGAAAATCTGGACCATAGTAAAAGTTTTGATTACACAGTAATCAGGTTGTGGATACTATCAGTGAAACCACTAAATAGTAGTACCACAGTATTATTGTTGATGCTTCTGGAGATCCATTGCAACAAAGGACTACCAGGGTATGCCACCATGCCAACATAATGCAACACTGCTAATCCTCACATCCACATATCTGCAGTGACAGTAATAAAGTACATATCTGCACACAAACATGTTTTCTAAATAAATCAATGTGCTTTTTTGTCATGAATGTTATGTTTTTGGTACACTAAACTTCACTACTCAGTTTAAATCACAAAGTGTTAAAATGTAAATAATATTACAATCACGACTTGTAAATCAATGTTTTTCTTTAAGGACCTATGGCATGTCATTAATATTCAGCCATATATGTTCAGAGTAAAAGTGATTTTTATTCACATACATATGTTAAGAATACAGACAATTAAATACAGAGCAACAAACATTTCTCTCTTCACAGTCTTTACCGAACAATTTAAACAGGACAAACAAAATCAGTTTTGTTACAGAAAACTACAAAAAAATAGGAATGCATTACAATTTGGTAAAAAGTTAGGATAAAAAATAAAGGCAAAAAAACTAAAAAATATATATATATATACACATCCTTCTGAAATGTAACCATAAAATCCCAAACCTGTATCGACCAATACTGTGCCGAGAGTTTTCCTTTGAATGACACTAAATCTTATCACCACCTTGTGCCTCTGAATACACCTTGAAATAACTTGAAATACCAAAATAATTACATTGAGTGTCCTGACAAAGCCTCAATTTAAGAGACTTGCTTGCAGTTACAGACAATAAGAAATGCATACTGGTAGGAATGAAGGCATTGCACCAAGCAGATTTTTTCTGCTGCGAGACGGTTTCGTTTACACAGTTAAATGCCATAGTGGAAAGAAATACCCACTTTACAATCATTCAGTGCCCAGGCGTACTGTTTCTCTGATTGTCCTGTTCATTACTCTTCTTGTGGTTAAAAGAAGAACATTAACAATGATGAAGAGATAGAGATAGAACCATTTGTAAAAGTCAAAGAGAGCAAATAACAAAATAATGTAAAATTTAGTTACCTTGCATATACAATAGACCACAGAACATTAACAGCATTCAAGAACATCCATCACAAGTTCCTCTTATCAATAAAACTTTCTTCTCTCCTTTGGCATCCACTTGACCATAATCATCTCCCTTAGTTTATCTAACCTTAATGTAACTGACTCTTTATTTTCATAGACTTATATAGAGGTCTTAATCTTATGCACAATTTCATATCTCTAGTTTTAAATATAACCTTCCTTAACAATAACTCCATTTGTTTCTTTGGCAGTCTTTCAAAACTGTAATATAGATGCCCAAATTTTCATCCTTACTTTATAGGAAAAAAAACTTCTGAAGGTTGTTAACTTATTTCATATTTCCTACTAGCTGATTTTAATGACTGAAATTATGAAAAATAGTATTGAAAAGAAAAGAAAAGAAAAAAAACATATTGCAATTAAATATAAACTTCCCAGACCATGACCCTCAAAGTTCTGGTTTATATCAACATGATTTCTGTTTAAATTGGTTCTTGTGACTTTTATCCAGCACCATGAAGTGATTTTGGTGTTTCATGTAACTGTTGACTTTGCACTCAGCCAGTACCAATCTTTTTGAAATAAACAAATGCTATTAAAATGATAAGAGCAATCAATTATACACTGCCATTTGTAAACTAGAACTGCCAAGGGGACAATATACAAACAAAACAAAGTTACTGGGGAAAAAAGATTTACCCAAAGTTACTTTTCCATAAACTGATGTGGTTGAGAGGGTTGAAGGCCTATTCACAAGCCTACTTCTTTGAATCCCTTAACATTAAGGAACTGCAGGGATTTTTACTTTTTGGGTATATCTACGTTCTCTGAGCTGAGTGAGGAGAAGTGAGCAGAGAACGGCTTATCATAGTCTACACCAGACCATCACACTAACCTAACAATCCACCAAATATTGGTTAGCACTTGATACTGTCTGGCCTCTAAATCCATGCTACAACGTATGGGAACCTCCATGGTAATTGAAAGAGTGTGGTTAAGAATGCATTGAAACACCTTGTTACATTGTTATTGTAGTAATGCGACCTGACCTTACTCGCAGGGAAGAGTGCATCAGCTACAAGCGAAGGGTCATTTTGTGAGCTAGCCTGCATTCCTACTTGCTACTTGGCTGATGGGAGCACTGTCGAGCTAGGAATGGTTACTGGGCTACAGAGGCTAGATTATGACAGGGAAGTCTTGATATGTCTACAAGATGCCAAATCAATACCATTAAGAATATTGCAACTGACAATACTGATATTGCAAAAGGAAAGTACATTACTGTCATCCGGTTGCAATAAAACAAGTGATCATCTCCTAACATTAATGAGTATGTAAACTGAATGCATACCAAACTAGTCTAGCAGAACAAGACAAATCCACTTCACCTTAAGAACATATATTCATACCCAATATCTTACTGCTGGTGCTTTTCCATTTATCAAAATTTGTTTATAACAGTCATGGAAATATAAATGATACTGCTACCATAAAAATGTAGACGATAACAAAATCTCTCCTTACCAAAATAACATTTTACAAATGGCATGCAAACTATAATGGACAAAGAGCAATTAAGAAAAATAGTGTAACCATCTAAAGAAAGAGAGAGAGAAAAAAAAGGAAAACAGTTTTGACTGTTTCTCTTACTCAATCTCCTCCTGATGCACGTGCTCAAATCTCAGCTGCCATGAAACAGTCATATGCATGGCAATTTAAAGTGAACTATATTCAGTGACTAGAAATAATAGGATAGAACACAACACATGATCTATTACCAGTAAAATATGAGGAAAATAATAGTAATATTTTTATGATGTTATTACTAACATCAGTTTCATAAATTAACATGTATATAAGGTCATTAGATTACATCAATACATTAACCTAAACACATCAAATGAAGTATCTATTGTCTTAGATATTCAAATATAAATTATAAAAGCTGATCTCAGACCAACTTTATAAATAAATAAATAAATATAATACTCAACAAATAAATATCAGAACTCACATTTAAAACACCTAACCAAAATACACAGTCTTAACAATTTAAAACTCAACATCTTCCACCTTCAAGATGCTTAATCTGTTCCTTAAAACCAAGCAAACAGTTTAGACCGTAGCGATGCCGACACTTAATCAGCATTCTGCTTATTAATATTCAGGTTGACTTCCACCTTGCCCTTGTAGCCATTGTGCTCGATGCCCTCCAGGAAGTCTATGTAATCCTGGAATACAGAACAACCTCAGTATTATAGTCAGACCATCACCACAACTAGCATCATCATAATCTTTTTCTACCAGTATTATCATTCTCAAATAACTGCAATTCGTTTAAATAGAGGGCCCTGATTTTCATCACAGTATAAAACACTTATGGTAAAGGAGCAAAAGCACACTGAGTGGCCAAATCAGTTTTAATAAAACTGAACAGTTTACAATGCTTAACTGGTCAAATAGAGCCTGAAGTCTCCAGAATCTGTACATTCAATTATAAGTCACACAGTAGCTATTGAGTGCTTTTATAACACATGATTAAACATTCTAATACTTCTCTGAAGGCAGAATAAAAAAAATCTACATATATATAGAAGTAAACTAAAGGATGATGCACTACTGACCCCCCCCCCACCTCCAACACTTATGGTACAGTGACATGTTAAAAAATAATGAGGGCATCCCAGTTACTAAATGTTCATAAGTCCATTATTACCAAGTGCACACTGGTTACATAGATTTATCTTATTTATGTGTGGTAATAGTATAGTCTAAGTTCTCATTACATTAAACTGAACTGCAGATTGTATACCACATTTTATCATTGTTATATAACATTATTTGGTTTATATAATACTACTGCACCAATATTATAAAGAAATCACATAAATAATAAAGAGACATAAGGTGTTGCTGAATAAAACCTACTTCAAATGAAATCTTTAGGAAATGAGATATAAATATATATGTTAACTACTAATACTGATTATCTTACTTCATATTCATTTTCTTTCTTTATCTCTCATCGAGTCTGGATATCACTAAATAAAAAAAATTACAAACAAGGTGGGTTAAGGCAGAGTTCGGTCTCAGCATGCTTAAAAGCCTTGTATAATGTTATAACGTCATAACTTAAGTCATATCATATTTTATGTTAAGTTAAATAGTCTGATAAATAATATGGCCAGAAATAATCTTTAAAGAAATCATAATGGTACTACACAACTAGTCTTAAGTCTTACTAAACTAAAATGCCCCTCTTAATATTTCAAGTCAGATTATGTATACAAAATGAATCTTTATGAAACTATTAGTGATAAACTATCCATGCGAGTGCCTTTAAATGTGTCACCAAGTGGTTAATCTTTCGGCTGTAATCATTAATCGCAAGCAAACAATCTTTTTTATTCCCATGTTCATCAACACGTGTAATTACCACCTACCCTAAAGTGGCAGTAACTGTCAGCACTCAGTGAAAGCTGAACTACGACACATGAGTTCTGTATGATTTATTTGTATTGCAGCGGTAATTTATAAATTTATTTGTACAATTTAATTTTTTGGCAACTAGTCCTGGAGTGAGGGGGTATTTTGGGGGTCGAGAGGGCCCATAAATCACTCGCTTGATTTTTGTAGTTAAAGGCCCTATATTTGAGACTGGTGTTAAATTTCACCACTGATTAACCTCTGGTGACCTTGACCTTTGATATGAGTGGTCATGCTTACATTCATCTTGTAGCTTACTTCCAAAGCTACAAAATGAGTGGTCATACATGACTATGTTTAGTTCAAAAGTTATTGTTATTCTAGTTTCTCCTACCCCCAATTTTTTATGTATCCAAGGGTGCTGACTTTTCAGACAAAACACTGAATAGCTCCATTATTACCCTCACAAAAAAGGTGTCCCAGGAGACCCCCTACAAAAATCAAGAGTGTGATTTAGGAGCCCTCTCGACCCCCCAAATACCCCTTGGCTCCTGTACTATACCTGGGTCTACTGCTTCCATAGGTTGTTATATCAAAAGAGTAATTTCTGTGGGAGAGCATACATTGTCAATTCTTATAGGTCTTGATGGACTTATTATTTTCTGGAAAACCCTCTGTTTCGCATTATCAAGTGATATTAAGCACCAACAGAAAGAGGAACACATTCAGTTGGCCACCCCAGCCTACATCTTGATCAACAACATTTTCTTATTCCTCCACCTCTCACCTTAGGAAGCCCATTTTCTTTGGCACCTCGCAAGATGACATCCAGGTAGACGAAAGATGGTCGTCGGTCTTTCTCCAGGGGCCGTATGAGCTGGTATGAGCGAGCTTTCACCATCTTCCCGTCAGACGCCTCAACATCTACTTCGATGGCTTTGTACACGCCATGGTCAACACCTTCTTGCCTGGAAAGTATAGTTTATATATCTATTGGGGATAAAAACTATTTCAAGCCACTAGAAGCCAGTTTTTTGTATTTTACTAAATTACATGAAATGCAGATTAAATCAGTGATACATTTTCCACAACAGGTGCCTCCCCTTTCCTAAAGTCTATGGCTATGTTTCCGGATGCATTCCTTTCAACTCATATCCATGTGAAAGTAATCCAAAGCATGACAAATTACGTTTCAGCTAACAATGATTTTGTCTTCAAAGTTTCTAAAATCCTCTTACTTATCCAGGTGCTTCATGTCCTCATTGGCAATTTCCCAGAGGACTCCATACAAGTGGTTGCCGGGGTCTTCCACAATGGTTGCAGCTGCTCCCTGCCACCGCTGACTGAAGTAGTTGAAGTCCAGACGGTAGTCCTAAAGATATAGAATTATAAACACACAAATACAGTAATGTATGCACAAAGATGAACTGGAAAACAGCCACAATAAAAAATGAAAACAGATTCCAATGTTTCAAAGTTGTCAAAGAGTCCCTCTTCAGATGGATAAATAACTGGTTATTTAACCATCCAAAGAGGAACTCTTGACGAGTTTAAAATATTACTATTTTCATTTCTTATTATGCTCTTTTCCTACTTAAATGAAATTATATAACATTAAGCAATTCTTAAGAAATGGAGCTAATCTTACACCTGTTCTTACACCTTCAATGATTCTTTAACCACATTAAATCAAGAATAAAAATCCCATTTAGTTCCAACATGTCAAAGAATAAATGTATATCCATACATTTTCTATAAATATATACTTCATGGAGAGCACTACACAACCAAAAAATATATCGTAAGGAATTTAGTTTTCAAAGCTTATGATACCATAAAAGAAGAACAAATAAAACCAACAATAGCAACAATCCACACGAAGTAAAAGTATTAACACGCGGCACTCACCTTCAGCTTGCCGATGTCCACCATCTTAGCTGAAGGATTGTTAATGTGGATGCGCTCAGTGAGGAGGTTAGAGCCATAGGCAAAGTAGAGGAAGCAGTTGCAGGAAGCCATTCTCGTGACAGACGCAATAGACATTTGAAGTACCTGAAGCAAAGATTGCAAAGAATAACCTATGGCTCATTCTCACATCAAAACTCCTCATTCTCTATACATTTCTAAAAACCCGTAGCAATGCCGAAGCAGGTCTGTCATCCCACTTTTGAAATAATGTAGTCACTGGTTTGATTAATTGCCCTATTCTAATGATCTATCCTCTAAGGCATTGTTGTCCAAACTGGGGTCCGCAATATAGATCATAAGGGTACGTGAACAAATAAGGAACACAC